AAAAAAAAAAAGAACAGGGACCAGGCTTGGCTGAAGGATAAGGCACAAACTGGGTATCCGCATCCCAGATGCTAAGTCCCCTTGTCCACTTGACCTACGAGCATGCTGGCAGCTGCGCCTTTTCTGTCCAGGAAGGAGATAGGAATTATCCTTTCTGGTCAGCCAACAAGGAAACCCCCCAACACTCTGATATCAGGTTTTCTTCCCTCTATGTGCAGCTAGAACTGCTGACTGTGAAGCCGTCAGACCTCAAACCGGACACTTGCTTAGGTATTGTCATTAGAGTTTTAGGTCCCAACAGCTCAACAGGAGCACACAACCAGAGGTTATCAGATTTCTGGGGAAAAAAAAACCCTAACAACCTGAGAGCGAGCCAAACAAATGAATGTCACCGAAATCAGAAGGAAGGAACCAGACATTAGTCAGGCAGGAGAAAACGGAAAACGTTTGCAGTCAGCTTGTCAAGCTCCATGAAAATCCCACTGGGGTTTGTCAGGGACTGGATTGTGTCCACCCCCCCAAAAATTTGATATGTTGATGTCCTATCCCCCAGGACCTGAGACTGTGACTCCATTTGGAGATGGGGTTATAAAGAAGTGATGAAGGTAACAACATGAGGTCACTGGGTGGGCCCTGACCCATTAGAACTGTGTCCTTATAAGAAGAGGAGGTGAGGACACAGACACACACAGAGGGACGGCCATGTGAGGACACGGGGTGCAGACAGCCGTCTGCACACCCAGGAGAGAGGCCTCGGGGGGGACCAGCCCTGGGACACCCGGATCTCGGACTCCAGCCTCCAGGACCAGGAGACACAAATGTGTGCTATCTGTGCCACCCAATCTGGGGTCCTTTGTCACGGTGGCCACCTCAGCACATTAGTACAGGGTTGTAATTCGTACTGGATGAAATTGAGAGGAATTTGAGGAGACCAAGTGTATTCTCAAGGAAGCCAATGGGTTCTTCCTCATCACAGGACTCGCTGAGCTGTGAATCGGTTGAATTATCACGCGGCTGCCCATGAGATGGGTCCCAGCCCCCAACACCCGTGACGATGGTCACGGATGGAAATGTCTGCCGTGCTTGCACAGGGAACACACTTTACCTTTGAGGAGTTCTTGGAGTCTTTGAAGCATTTGATGCTAGAAATATTTCCCGTGACGTCCCAGGCCAGCATTTTGCTTTTCGTTTCCATCCTTAAGTTCTTAATCGGTGGCTGTGGATCTGAAATGTTTGTAAGGTCGCGTTAGGAGGGGCGCCTGAGGTGTTGGACAGCCAGGGCCTCGATGGGAACGTCCGTCTGCCACCAAGTGAGCCAGTATTCTTGGGGCGTAAACGTCTCCGTGGCCGCATGGCTGCCAGAGCTGGCAGAGCCCATGACCCAACAGCTCGGCCTCTCGGAGACGGAAGAAACAGTCACAAGGGCAGACTACTCCTGCCGACCGTGCCCGTGACGTGTACCTGTCGCCATCAGAGAGTGCCTCCTACGCTCTTCTCCCCGAGAACAAATGCAGGCTCACATACTGGGGACGGGTTGCGAGTTGCAACAGAGCACGTATATATTTTTTCCTCCACCTCATAAAATATGAAGCCTGATAAGGACCCCGTGGTCCTCACGTCCTTACAGACTGACACAGTCTTCCTATTGTTGGAACACCTCCCAGGGCGCCTGTGGTAGAGGCGATTTTCAAGGACCAGGAGAGCTCACGTGTTCAGACCCCGGTGTCAACGTGAAAAGGAAGCCTCTACGAGCAGGTCGCCACTCCCAACGCGTGGCTTCAGTGACGTTGTAAGGAAGTGGAAGCCTGCTCAGTCACCTTTTGCCAAGAACGCAAAGCTACAGAATTGCGTCGGACGCTTTCTCTGGGTTTTATTTGCGGCCCCTCCTTGAGAGGACGTAGAGGAAGTCACGGGTCATCAACCGTGAGTAGCATGATTAGCTGTCAAGAACATCAACCTGAGTTGTATAAGCAAAACCAAGCCGTGTGAATAGTACCTTGGTTTCCGGCACTATTTTCTCCTAACCTAACGTATTTCTTAAGCAAACAAACAAACAAAAAGCCTCATCCAGGGAAATTTCTTATAAATTGAAAATGTAAATTTTAATGGATTCTTATGCTACAAAATTCATATTCACTTTTGCCACAACACTAAAAATCATTATAACAGATATGAGTGATGCAGTAGAAAATATTCATTTTAGCATGTTTCTATTACATATATTTATTACATATTTTATTACATATATAAACACATATATAAATACACACACACACACACACACACACACACACACACAGAGGGTGCCCAAAAAATATATATACGGGTTTAACAAATGAAAAAACTGTGTTAAAACTGTAAAACTCAATATATACCAAGAACAAAAGATGAATACAAGTCACGTGTGACTTCTCAATGACAAGAGGTGCTCAAAGGGGTTCCCATCAGCGTAATTTTAAGACATTTTTTTCCTTTCTTAAAATGTGTATACATTTTTTTGGCACCCTCTGTAGCCATGTGTGTGGTGGGGGGGCATTTATTATAACAAGAGAGTTTTCTGTCATTGATTATTCCATGAAGTCCACCTATGGTCTGTCAGAGTGATTATTCTCCACCCAATGACAGTAGGGATCACAAATGAAAAAGAAAAAATCTGTAATGCAGAAAAAGAGACCATAAGAATACAGACAGACAAAATACACCACAATCAATGCAAAGACACCAAAAAGCATTTGCTGCACGAAACTAGCCATTGCCCACCGCTCTGAAAAAAAGACGGAGGTTCTCCATCCCGGGGCACTTTTAAAAAGGAGCAGTGCTGCTGAAAACCCTCTTTGAGAGCTGACAAAGCAACGAGGCTCAGATTTCTCTGTCACTAAACAGCTGGGAACCTGGGCAACATGCATCCAGCAGTTCTTCTCAGGCATTGGATACGAGGTGGCAGAGGACTCTGAACACGGCTGGGGAGACATTAGCTGGGAACCGAGCAATTCTGAGCATTTCTTGACAAGGGGGAGACATGCAGGCTGCAGCCAAACGGGGTGCAGATGCCTTGTGGAGCTCTCAGAGCCATTGCGAGAGACCCCCCCGCCCCCCCGAACAGCCCTGCGTCTGTGTTGGGAGAAGCTTGTTGCCGACGAAACGCTACTTTAGACGCGGCCTTGAAAAATCATCACGACACACCTCAGGAACAAGGGGACCCAGCAACAAAGCCGTGGCCTGCAAAACCAGACCTGCACCTCTCTAAAAGGGAGACAACACAGCCGGACCCTCACCCGCCTGGAGCGCACCATGTCCAATAAGCCATTGCTACCTACACAGACAAGCAGACGCGTGGTGTCTGTTTCGGAGCCGCCACGAAGCAACGTCGGCCCGTAGAAATTGTCTCACAGATGAGAGCGGATGAAAGCCACCGACAAAGGCAATCCAGCAGCCATTGTCCCTGTGCTCAACGACTTAAAAACAAACAAACCAAGAACAGAATACTACTAAAGAATGAGAGAAAAACCAAGCAGAGCTTCCAGGGGTATACAGAACGAAGATAAGAATCACTGCTGATTTGTCTTCAGAAACAACGAGACACAGAAGATAACAGCATTGCATTGTTAAATGCTGAAAGAAAGAAAAAAAAAACCCAAACAAACCCACAAAATCCTTTGTCAACGTAGACCCCTACATCTAGCAACACATGGAAGGTGAAATAAAGACATTTTTGGCCTCACAAAACCTGAAAGTGCCTTTTCCCAGAAGTGGCAAGACAGGAAATAAACGCAAACTGCTTCAAGGGTCCTCCGTTGTATTGACATCTGAGACTGTTATCTGAAAACAGTATGTGACAGATAAACGGGGCGTATTTTAAACCCACAGCAACCACGAAATCAAGGAAACACAGAGGTGCAGCCCGTGGCAGAGGGAAAAAAACATCCAAAAAACAAACAAACAAAAAAAGGCGAGGGGAAGGCAGGGACCATTTCCTGACAGATTCTCCGAGGCCACCATTATCCTGAGGCCAAAATCAAGGTCATTAAAATCAAATGAGGGGCCAACACCCCTTATAAACGTAGACACAAAAATCTCTTTCCAAAACATTAGTAAAAACAAAACAAAATACACAAACAAACAGAAAAACCCAGCGGGATAGAAACCTGGTGATCATATGTCAACTACCCACGAGATTTTACTGCAGGAACACAAGCTCGTTTTAACTACCAGTAGAATAAGCCACCCTGGTGACAGAAAACTCACAGGGGGGAAAAAAAAATGACACCCATTTGGGATTAAAAACTCAGCCAACGAGACGTCCCAGCCCGCGCGTGCTGAGATGACCCTGGTGAACGAATCCTACGGGAACCCGGGGGGCTCCCTCGGACTCAGTGGTCAAAGAGGTTCCAACGCGTCTCGTCCCCGCGTGTCCTGTGCCCGTGGCCCCTCTGCTGCGACCGGACCATGGCTGAAGCTGGAGGGAGTTTGGGCAAAACGCGCGGGAACCGTGGCCGTTTCCAGCTTTCGACTCGTTTGTCCTAGAGAGCAAGTCACTTCCTGCCTGTGGTCAGCGATCCTAGAATACCCACGGGCCGCAAGTGACCGCAAAGGACACGGCGGCAGACAAAGGCGGGAGGCGGGTGGGGAGCCCTGATCGTGGGGGGGCCTGGGGGGCGGGGGTCTGACGTCCGTCCCGCCTGTCGCTGCTTCTAGCCCCACGGCTGCCTCTTTCTCGGGGCGTGGGGCAGGAGTGGTGTGTGCTGCCACCGGCTGTGCCCCGCACGAACCTCCCACAGGCCCCTCGAAGGACACGTGGGGGCCACGAGGATTTGGGGGTCGCGGCCCACAGGTTGAGAACCGCGGCTCTGGCGCCTTCGAAGGTGATGTTATGTGGAAACGGGGTCTGTGCAGATGGGACTGAGTGAGGATCTGAGAGGAGGGCGTCCTGGATCAGGGGGGCCCTGACCCCAATGACAGTGTCCTTATCGGGGACAGAAGAGGAGGGACGCAGACACAGAGGGGACGCCACGTGGAGACGGAGGCAGAGACGGGGGGAGGCAGCCACCCGCCCAGGGACGCCTGGAGCCCCCAGGAGCTGGACGGGGCAGGAGGGACCGTCCCCTGGGGCCTCCGGAGGGAGCGTGGCCCTGGGACAGCGTGGTGGCAGCCTCCTGGCCTCCAGGACGGGGGAGGGCACATTTCTGTGGTTGTCAGCCCCCCAGTTGATGCCTGTTTGTCACACTAGCTGTTATGGACCAAACGTGTGTGTCCCCCAAATTCATACGTGGAAGCGCTGAGCCCTGTGGGGTGGGGTGTGCAGGTGGGGGCTGTGGGCGGGAATTCGGGTTAGGTCCTAAGGGTGGGTCCCCCATGATGGGTGCAGGGTGCTTATAAGGAGAGGAAGAGGCAGAGCTTACCCTCCCTCACGGCACGACACGGAGACAAGGTGGGGGCTGGGCTCTTAGGAGGGACCCACCGCGCCAGCGCCCCAATCTGGGACGTCCGGCCTCAAGAGCTGTGACAAGTAAGTGTCTCTTTCTTAAGCACGCCAGTGTGAGGTATTTTGTGACGGCCGCCGGAGCCGACCAAGACAGCAGCCCTGGGAGATGTCACCCCCTCCCCAACCCAGCACGAAACACCTGGTTACCCACACTCTGCGAGGGACGAACGGACTTCGCACGGTTATGAAATTCGTGGCCGTGACCGCAGCTGCCAGCATCCTGGCTGATGCCACCAGCCGACGGGCACGGGCCTTTCAGCTTTCAAGAAACAGCGCCTTTATTCTAAAATATTGTGCATTTATTCCCATGAGTGTGAAGACACGTAATATTGGGTTGTCGGAAAAGTCATGACTTTTTTTTTTCTATGTTTTTCGTTGCAAAAATGCGTCATGACTTTTCCGACAACCCAATAGAAACGGAACCACTTTAAAATGAAGCCGTCCCAGAGGACTGACCTGGCCTGTCTGACGCCTCCAACCTGCGGCTGTCACAACAGGACACAGTCACCTCAGGACGGGGCCTCAGCAACACTGTGTCCCAAAGAGCTGTTTGCAGAGGCAACAAGAAAGCAGGTGCCAGGACTCCAGGACGGATGACTCTGGGCTGAAAATTAGAAACACTGTTTAGAGTCAGCGTCACTATGTTACAGTATCTGCACCAAGAGCAACGCCTTCCTTCTGTGACGTCACTGTCACCCTTCCCTTTGTCATAAACACCCCTGGCCTTTGTGGCCTCATCGGGGCACCGTCTGGGCTTCTGCCTGAATCAGGGCTTCCCGGAGAGCTACTCTCACGGATCTCCAGTGAGCGCTGGTGGCCTCTCACTCGGAAAGGCCTCTCGTTGGTAGGTGACCACAGGAAAAGCGAGGCACGTGGAGACCCTGGGGGGCTCGGAAGGGCCCTCAGTTGGATGCATAACATACAGGGTGCAGCCTTTCTCGTGATGGGCAGAGACTGTGGCCTCCAGTGTTGGCCACAGAGAGGACACCTCTGCCCATCCAGGTGGATGCTCTGGCCGCCCAGAGCACGGATGTCCGGAAAAATACTGGTTATTTCAGCAGGTGGGTGACTCCGAGGTCCCAAGCGCCCAGGCTTAGGGACGGAGTCCCTTCTCCTGGTACAGAGGCAGCTGGGTGCCCCATGGCTCTGATGCGGTTTCCCACGGGCTTAAAAACAACGGGGCACCTCCCTTTGTCCATCTGCCTCCTCTCAAAGCTTCAGATGACAGCATCTTTGAAAAGCAACCCTTAAGGTTCTCACAGGCGTCTGGGATGAAGGTGTCGGTAGCGTTCGCGCTGCCCGGAGGACCTGGGGTTACGGCCTGTTCCAGGCGTCCCTCCCAGCTTCTCCGTTCTGCCCCAAAGCCTTGGCGTGTGTTGGCTTGTGGCCACATCACCCCAGTCTCTGCCCCTGTCACCACCTGTGTCTGAATTTCCCCTTTTTATAAGGACCCTGGTCGTATTGGACGAGCACTCCTCTCCCCCAAAATGCCCTCATCTTAACTTAATTCCATCTGAACTGAGTCACACGCACATTCCTGGAGGCTACGCCCTCAGCACATGAATCGGGTGGGGGCACAACCCCACCTGTCACCACGGTGTCGGCACAGTCTGTTCCCTCCCCAGGAACAGGACGATAGCAGGAGGACGTAAGGCGCAGACGCCAGACCCCAAGCCACATCCATCCCCCGGCGGCGCCCTGACTGTTCCGAGCTCTGAGATGTCCCAGCTGTGACACAGTCCCACCTATTTTGCTACATGAGCCCATTGGGGGGTGGGGACGGGTTCCCGGGACGCCTGTGTATTATCTCTTATGTCCGCGTGTGATTCTACAGGAATCTCAACGCACGCAGTGTAACCGAACCTCAAAATACGGTGACAGACCTGCAGACGGCACCTGGTGATGTGAACGGTCAGTGGGCAGCACGCAGGACACGGGCGTCAGAAACGCCGCCAGCCAAAGCAAGGCCATGGTCGGGCGGGAGGCCGGCAGGGCGGGCGCTGGAAGAGAAGAGAGGGTTACCTGTGGGGGTGGCGTCGGGCACAGAGGACGGAGCCTGTGCGGCTGCTCATGTGTGCGTGCACACACGCCTACGTGCACACATGTGTATATGTGTGCTTGTGCGCGCACATGTGTGTGCCTGTGTGCACGTGTGTGTGCATGTGTACACAGTGTGTGCATGACATGCACCTGCGTGCATACATGCCCCTGTGCGTGCACACATGCGGGAACGTTTGTGTGTGCATATATCATGTGCACACGTGCATGTACACACATGCACGTGTGCACATGTTTGAACACACATGTGTGCATGCATAGGTGTGAATGCACCCATGCGTGTGCATGTGTGAGCATGTTTGTGTGTGCATGTGTGTCCATGTGTGTGTATACAGTCTGTGCATGCCTGTGCATTTGTGTGTATGTGTGCCTTGCACACACCTTTCTGTGCATGTACATGGGCATATGCAGGTGTGTGCATGTGTGGCCACAGGTTCCCGTGTACACGTGTGTGCATCCATGTGTGTGGGTCAGCGTGTCTTTAAGGAGCGCCGCCTTGGGGTTTGAGCTCAGCCTTGGCCCCGGCCCCATCCAGAAGCCGGGAAGCCCACACCACCCAAAGCACCAGGAAACGCTCTGAGGACAAAGCCACGGAAGGAAGTTTAATTAAAAGTCTGAAATCAACAGACACTGAATTTCCTGATGGGACCGAGTTACGGTAACTGTACCCTCTCCCGCACCGACGTCCCAGCTGGGACGTTTGTCCAGGGTCCCCGTGAAACACCCTCGGCGGGACGGCTCTCCTGGACCCTCCCACGGTGGCCAGCTTCCCGTGCCCACTGGGTCGCCTGTGACAGGGTCTCCTGATGGCCCGCCCTCGCCTCCGTACCCAGACTCATCTTTTGTAAATGTCATTACTTAGCGCCTTGGGGGCAGCTCGGGGCTGGCGCACAGGCAGCCACCCCACAGTTGAGCCTGAGACCCTCCCCTGCCTCGGGGGCAGCCTGTCCACCGGGGTGCTGGACTGTGTGCCCCCCAGGGTCACACACCAAACGTGCCTCTCCAAGCCACCCCACCAGCACAATGTTGACTGGGAGGGAGGAAGAAATCGCAGATGCTCCCACGTCATTCAGGACCCCCCATCATGGGACCCCATCCAGACTCCACCGGGGGGGGGTCTCTCCTGCTCCCCTCACCCAGTCCTGGGCCCCCCGGGGGAATTTGCGTCCCCATAATGGGACGGACAATGATCTCCAACAAGTGCCAACATCCACACAAATCTGACACGAGATGCTGACCCCCAAAGTGCACCTAGCTGAACCAGGGACAGGCCCGGGGCACCCCTTTCCAGGGGAGGAAAGCGGCTAAGACCCCGAATTGCCCACCAGGTGGAGGCAGGCAAC